ACCGGTTCGGCCCGGCGCGGCGCGGCCCGTGTTGATGTTGTGAAGCGGGCGCGGGGGGGGGAAGGGATTCGCCTCGGCCGCTCACCGCCCGGCTCTACATGTCCGCGGCACTGAGGAGGAGGCGGAAGAGGAGCCAGCCCCCCTCCCGGCCCGGATTATTGTTGTTATATTATCTCCCCTCCTCCTCCTCCTCCTGCTCCGCGGCGGCGGCGGCCCAGCAGCGGCGGCGGCGGCGGCGGCTCCTCTGAGGAGGGAGGGGGGCGGATTTTCTCCCCCCCTCTGGCGGATTCCCCGTTGGATTCCGGCGCCCATTTGCTCAGGTAATGCCCCCTTCTCGGCTCCCCTTCCCCCGGCTGCCCTCTCCGCCGAGCGGGCCGGGCCTGCCCCGCCGGCGCGGGCGGCCCAGCGCTGCCGGCGGCGCCGCGGACCGGCCGCTCTCCGGGGAGGCGGCGGGCGGCAGCCGCAGGGGGCTCATTTCGCGGCTCCCCCCCTTCCCCTTGGCCGCCGAGGGAGGCGGGCGGCCGGCGGGAGGCCCAGGCCCGGCGCAGGGCGCAGGCCCCGGCGGGCAGCGCCGCGGCTCCGGCGCGGGGATTAGGCAGGCGGAGCGGCCGCTCCGTGACAGGCCTCGGCCCCGGCAGGAAACAATGCGGCGCCCCGAGCCCGGGCCATATTTACAACTTGGCCGGGCCCGAGAGGGAGGAAGGTCCCGGCGCAGGCGGCGCGCGCCGCGGGGCCGCGCACAATGTAAATAGCGGCCGGGGGGGGGGCGGCAAATGCGCGATCCTCGCGCGGCCGCCCCCCAAACTCCGCGCCGAGCGGCGGAAAGTTGAGGCGCGCGGCTCTGCAGACGCGGGGTGGGGAAAAGGCGGGGGGGGCTCCCCGAATATCGCAGCGATGGCTCCCGCGGGGTATTTATAGCGTGAAAGCGGCCGTTGCGGGGCGGCCCGCGGCTGCGGGCACCTGCAGAGCGGGCAGGCCCGAGGGGGCAGCGCGCGGCGCTCCCGGGCCCCCTGCGCCGCCGAAACGCGCCCCCAAAACAGCCCCCCAAAACACCCCCGGCCCCCCAGGCCGACACGCAGGGAACGCAGGAGGGGTCGCGCGTCAGGCGATACCTCCGTGACATTTGTGGGGCCAAGGTGAAGAGGMGCCCCTGGCCTGAGCGCCTGGGAGCCCGGTGTAAATTTAAGGAAGGGAAAAGTGGGGAATGTTTTTTAAAAAAAAAAAAAAAGTGTCATCCCTCTTGTCAGGCCATCTCGCTTGGGGATCCCGCGCTGGTTATTGGCTGTTTGTGCACCGTGGTGTTTGAATATGTAATTAGGTGTCATTTTAGCAGGTCAAATGTGTTTTGTAAATGGCTGTTGTTTAGGTGTCAGGTCTTTGTAAGTAAATGGTAGCTGGTTTTCAGAAAGGCCAATCTCAGGTTTGCACAGTGGCAGAGTTGAGATTGCTATTAGAAAAAAATGAGGTGGGTTTGAAGCAAGCGTGCCGTGAGCTGATTAAAAATATTCCCACGAAAATTCCATTGTGAGGGGAATTTTGTGAGATGAAGTTTCACCTTTCTTCCAGAAAGAGAATTTGAAAATGGCAAACAAGCATTCCTGTTGCATAATTTATCTATTTTTAAGTAGTTTTTTTAGTTGTTCGGGCAGATCTGTTGTAATATTAAGTGGCTAGTGTGTCCAATAAAGTAACTTTCTGGTGTATTGTGTTTCGAGTCTTACAAACTGGGCTATCTTGAGTGCCCTGATACCCGTTTAAAGGGGTGAAGTTAATATAGCTGTCACGTAGAAGGCGTGTTTTTAATGCTGTAAATCCGTGTAGTAGTCAGTAGCGTGTCCGTGATTTGTATTGGTCAGGGAGCAGTTTGAATTTTAAAAAGCCTGAAGATCCTGCTGAGCCCCAATCCCGGCCTCCCTCCCTCCCACTAATCTCCCATTCCTGTCTTTGTGCTGCCTGGTCCTGTTAGACACTGTTTGCAACAGGGCCTCAGGCCTACGTGCAGGGAGAGGAACCATTTACTCTCGGAAAAAGCAGCTTTTTATTTTTAAACTTTATGAATCGCTGCCGGAGCCGCTCGTCGTCGTGAGCTGTCCCTATCTCTCCCTGGAGCTGAATTGCTGTTTTCTTGTGGTCCGTGGCACGCGCGGGRGCCGAGCGCAGCTCTCGTTTACAGGAAAGAAAGGGCTGTGCAGAAGTACTTGTAGCACTGGGGTAGTTTTCATCATCAGGAAGCGACGTTAGCTCCAGCGCTGCCTTCGTCGTTTGTTTAAAACAACTCTTGCTTTAGCAAAAACGGGCTTGTTGAGCTAACAGCTGTGGACTTCGCTGACTTATTTCTTTTTTTTTTTTCTTTTCATGTAAAGGTGGTTTGCTTTAAATATGCGAGATACGAGCAGGAAATGAGCTACTGTAGTTATGTAGTTCCTGTCAAGTTTATCTCTCCAGGGTTGTGTTTACAGCTTTTTTTTTTTTTTTTTCTCTCTCCTCTCTTTTTATCAGAAAGCATTTACTTTTTCTGGTATGAAAAAAAGCCTATTCATAGAGGGAATTTTAAGACGCTTTTTTTTTGTTTTGTTTTTGTTCTGAGCTATATGTGGTTAATCCTAAATTATCTGGATTGTTACAGTTTCTGGAGTTGTAAATTTCTGTAACTCAGAAAAAATATAATTAGCATATAGAAATATTGTGTTTGTAAGATTAATTATTTTTGTTTCAGATTTTATTTTTAGCACATTTAGGGATATGTGTATATGGAGAAACAGAGATATTTTACTTTTTTTTTTTTTTTCCACACTATCAGAGGTTATGTTGATTTGTCCCAGCAGCAAAGCTGCTCAAGAAGGATGTATAGCTGTTTAAGTCATACTGTAAGCATTTGAGTTTAGTTATATTTTAGGCGTTGGTTGTAGCAGTTATTTAAATGGAAGGGAAAAGGAAAATATTTTTTATTTTATCTTTTATTTTGTACTTTTGACTATCTTGTATATTTTGCCATTTATTTCCTGTGTACAGTATTTTTTCCCTTTTCCTTTTTCCCCTTTCAATTGCTTACATGTTTTACGTGAAGTTATTCCCACAAAAACTCTCTCTGTGAAACCTTTTCTTTTCTTTAAAAGCTGATTTAATACTTTTGTTTGTTTGTTTTAATAAGAATAGGTATAAACATACCACTGCAATAAAACATTTTGTGTTTCATTTGAAATGTTTGATTTTTAATATTTTTACAACCATGAGAGACACAGGATCAGAGAAGCAAAATGACTCCACTAACAACATTTGCAGATCTCTCATTTTCATAAGGGCACGTATACTCCTCCCTGCACAACCTAATTGCATGTTTGGGACTCTCTGGACACAATGTTGATATGACTCTTTCTGCAGAATCAAAGCACTAGATAGTAGTTTCTTTGGGCCAGAACTATGTTTTTTTTTTTTTTTTTTTCTTCGTTTGTGTGTGTGTTTGTATGACAGCTAACGTGTTGCAACTTTGATCCTAAGTGGGTCATACAGGTATTCCACTATAATATAAATAAGGCATATTTTGAATGCTAGGTGAAAAGTTGTGAAAATGTGAATTGAGTCGGGACTATTCCTGTGAGTTAAGCAAAAAATGTGGGGTTTTTTTTGTAGCTATTATGTTACAAAGTTACTAAGTCATGATGTTAATTTTACATTAGCATTTACTTTATAAATAGTACATAAGAAAAGTAAAGTTAGAGCACAATTGTTAATAACTAGAAGGAGAAATTTTACTTCAGAGTCTGAGTATCTGGTACTATATTAAAAAAAAGTCTTCCAATTCAACAGTACAGCAAAATTTGCTTTCTAAAAATTATCTTGGAGGAGTATTTAAYATGTATCAATGTAGAGACATTTTGATAGCAATTACAGGCATGCTTATTTAGAAAAATATGAGTCATGATAACTTCAGTTTCGAGTCCAGGTGGTATGAGTTGGATCAGCCAGTGTTAGAATAGCTGCTTTTGTTCACAAAATATGTTGTTAGAAATACTTAACATCTGAAAGAATTGACTGTTTTAATATTATACTGCTTCTTTTTCGCTCATACTTTTCCYGTGCCTTTATTAAAAAGGGTAGAGCTCAGGTTAGTGTCTGATTTTGAATGATCATTAGTGATGAACACTAAGTTGCACAGAGCTACCTACAGGGGAGAGCTTGAAACTGGTGATACCTGCATATTATTGGTAATAATCCTGTATGATAATGATGCTTTTTAAATAATCTAAAGAAGATAATAGCCTTTAAAATGTATTTATTAAGTGCTTGTATTCTAAAAATAATATTAATTCTTCTGTGTTACTATTTATTTAGTGTTACAAGCATCTGCTTCTTCGTAGATGATCCTGACACCCAACGCATGTGGTGGA